GTGGCGACACATGAAAAACTCAAGATGTAATTATAAGAAGCCCGCTGTCGGATTCGCCTTGAAATTCTGCATATACCACCTTAGTCTCATAAAGTTTGGTCCGGCGCGAGAGCTTGCACCTAATTTTCTAATGTTACTCATCACTATTATCGTCTAACCCTTGTCCGCTTGCTTAACTACACTATCTTTTCGTTTCGCTAAGATATTCAAGGCGTTATATTCCTCCTTACTCATATTTGGGTAAAATGAACGAGTTGCCTGTACTATAGCATCACGTATCAACTTCCTATTTAATGGTAGGTATATATTTTTGTTGGAGATGTCCTCAGTTTCTTCCTCCAGTTGTGCTTTAACTGAGAATTGTTTGACCGGAATATACTTCAGACCATATTGCAAAACATTCAGTTCATGTTTATCTAAGTATACTTGGCCTATACTGAAGACAAACTCCGACAACCTCCACGGTTCATTGGGTATTAAAGACGGAAGTCAATTGGAACTCATACTACTCCCTGTTGGAGCAGTGTCAGTGCCCCAGGCAACAGTTCTCTTAGTTACGAACGAGTTCGCACATGTATAATTAGTCGCGGTAGTATGATTATACTCCGATGAATTGACATTAGATCTTTCATTAGAATTAGTTCGCCAAACGTTACGACTGATAAATGGAGGTGAATAAAAACCTGTCTTAGAACGATTACTTTGAGTTTTCATATTTCTCATTCTTTGAGGTAATTGTTTATGCTCTGGCTCTGTATCTACTAGTGTATCACAGAGCTAGGTGTTCCAGCTATTCTCTTTAGTTGATCATATATAGCTTGATCCCTAGAGATCGACACAATCTCTTGTTCATTTTTCAGTCAAGAAGAATTAGTTTTCTGGAAACAAAATTCTTCAGAGTGTCTCACATCCTTACAGAATGAACACCGAGTGCGACAAAATCGTTTAATGTGCCCGAGCTTCCCGCATCCCTGACAAGTTAGAGATGAGCGAGGACTAAAATTACTGGTTTTACTTTGATTATTATTTGATACCTCATCATGAACGGGTTTAACTGAGTCTATCGCCTTCGAAGAAGATGATGGCTCATCTCGATCCGGAGGATTATGTATAGTTGTAGGACGAGGAATAATTTCTCGCTCTTGTAGACGAAAAAGTTTATTCCAGAAGTTCTCTATCACCTGCTTTAATTTCAAACTTTCCTCTCGCTCTATTTGTAGTAAGTCGTCCTCTTTATTCATTTTGAGTAATTTGTCCCTAATCTCTAGGATTTTTTACTCAGATGATTCTACTGTTTGAATAATAGATTCCGCCTCACACCGTAAAAAAATAGACTGATCTGTGAGGGGACCGATTTGGCTCTTATCGTCCCTGTCCTTTAATTTCTCACTGACTAAGAGGTTCCAAGTCATGATCTTCCAATTTACTCAATTTTGTCTGGAGATTTAGACTATTTTCAAAAAGTTTACTTTCTTATTGTGCTTTGGCTCTATTGTTACATGCTTTATACGCCGCCTTGTGACATTAAGTGTCAAATGGTGTTTTTCTTGCTTTAAACGTACTATTTACTCATTAATAGAGACATATCAACAAAATGTTCTTTTTTCGATGTTGCCGATTTGATCAGAACGTACGAGATTTTATTATTTTATTATGAGAATAATTTCGAAAAATTTTTAAAAGAAGAAAACCTGCAGTGGTTCAATTTTGGCTAAACTCGCATTAGTTGTTAATCAATCGAATTTTATTACTTTGAGTAAAGATTTGACTTAATATACGTTTGTGATAATCATTATTGTTAACATAAACATTAGATAAATATTGTTGAATTAAATCAAAATGTATCCACAAAATTGGTTGATTGATACGTGATAATTCTGAGAAGAAACAATAACAACCATTGTTTTGTTGTGGACTAATAAATATTGGTATATAATTGCCAGTTTTATATTCAAAACTTAACCGAATTTCAAATGATAATGCATATTTTGAACATTTTGAACTTTGTCTAATACCTGCTGTTCCTTGCCACGGTTGTCGATGTAAATTTGGTCCAATTTTAATTAAAAATTGTTCACAATCTGATGATTTATTATGAATACTTAATCGTACGGAACCTGGTAATAAAAATTTTAAATCATCTAATGCATATTTATTTTTTGTTGCTGTATTTGATTCATATGAACATATATATTTAATTGCATTTATTAAACTTGAAAATAAAACATTTTGTCTTAATAATTCATTTTTTTGTTGTGGTTCATAAATCTGAGCTAAAAATTTTAATTCATTTTCAGGTTTAAGTTGAGCTTCAGCTAATTCTGGATGATAACGGCTATGTAATATAGGTTCAATCATGTGTGGTATAGTTTCATTCAATGATAATTCACGAACTTTATCTAAGAAACTGTCACGTGTATTACATTTTAATAATTCATTTTTTGCTTGTAAAAATGGTTTTGAAAGTTGTTCAAATTTACTTGAATAGATTTCTGTACGTTTTCTAAGAAATGTTTCTAGTGCCCGTGGTTTTTCAATTTTCCATTGCTGTTCTAGTGTTTCATGTGACGTTAATATAACTTTATTACAAATATCCAATTTCTTGGCTATTTCATTTAAACAATTTGAATATGCCTGAATATGTTCATCCAGAAATGTATCATACGAAGCATATCGACGACCATCTTGTACAACAAATATTTGAATTGATTTAACTGTAGCATTAAAAGTTTCGTCAATTGATTGCATGAACCATTTAATACTACGATTAATCCGAGCCAATTCATGTAATAATAATTCTGCTTTATCAACGTCTAGAACAATATAATCATCAAACAATTCTTGACGTAATATGTCAATATGACATCTTTGAGTTTTAATTTCTGCATGTGTAGAATGACATTTTGAATATAAAATAGTTTGAACAGCATTACGAAAATCTATAATTGTTTGTACACCAGGTTGTACTACTTTATCAAACGATTTAATTAATGTTTGAGTATACTTTTCCGTTGCAATCGTCATAGCTTCTACAATACACCATAACTGTAATAATGCAACAACTTCGCCTAAATCTGGTAAATAGCCATCATTTTTTGCTTTATTCCGATCACGACATGGTAACATTAAAATAGAAAATTTTAAACCATCCTTATGTGTTAAACCATTTCTTATAAGAGTTTCACGTAACTTAAGTTCTTTTTCATGCGTTGGTACTGAGCCACGTCGAATTCCGCGACTAAATAATATTTCAATAATTATGTGTGCAAGAGTAGTTTGTTCATTACATAAATGAGACCATCGTTGTTTAGTGTGTGCTTGACGTACAGCTTTTTCAGCTATATTTTCAGCTAAAAATTTTGCTTCTTCTTTTAATTTATTAAATAATAAAGATTGAGCACATTCGTCATCAATCTCAATATATGGATCCCAGTCTGTTGTTGAAACAAATTGATCAAACTGTGATTCTAACTGTTTGAATAAACCATGTGTACTTGAATCAGAATTATAATTGGCTGTTGTTGTCATTATACCGATGTTACAGGTATTTTGTCTTTGATGGTGAAGTGAAATGCATTTGTCGTATGAGTATATATAGTAGAGTTCTCACATATAAGAGAAGAACGTGTAAAAATACGCGGCCGCGTTTGCTTACCTATGGAATCTATGGGCCAGAACAATATAAAACATGAAGAGTGATTCATATGCGCACATGTTTATATTTGGGACATAGATATTCCATATTGTCAATATAGATCATCCATATAGTCCCCTTCATAAGTGTATATACGTTAATAAAGCAATGTCATGTATATGTCATGTTATCTTTTACTTTCTATTATCAAATGAAAAAAAGCATTTACAACATTACAACAAAAATTTTCTTTTCATTTGAGAACAAATAAAGAGATAACTCTTAACAAAAGAAACACATTGAATTATTCATTTTACTTTAAAACTATCTCAATCATTCATCTACCGCCTCATATTGTAACTTACTTAATACCAATATACTGTACTGATGTAATCTTTTAAAAATCTATTCTACTCCTATAACTACACTAGAGGCTTCCATGAAACGTTATATTATTTAAAGGAAATATTCGCTCTTAACAAAACAGTGCCCAAAGTTTCCAAGATTTTTTTCAGATTTCTAGATTTAAATGAGTGCCAATTCTACCATAAAAGAAAAAACTCTTTGATACTGTTTCTGCTGTTAAAACATGATATGGTAGATTCTAAAAAGTGTCAATTTACATATCCGCAAACACTTGATCACTCCGATCCTTTTCAGGTCGTTAGCGATAGCTATCGCTATATATATTTGAAAAGTTCTTATTTCTAATATGTACATCACGCGTTCAGTTTTAGATCAGCCATAAAACATCAGCAAATGGCTGAAGAACAAGTATGTAAAATAAGATTCATTATTCTGGATTCAATCAACTCTTTTTTGTTTCGATAGGTATTTACTAAAGAACTTGTATTAACAGCCCTAGCATCTGCTTCTGGATTACTTTCAGTTGGCTGGAATTCAGGCTGTATTAATTCACCTGAAAAATATATAACCAAATTTATGTCCGATGTTTATTTCCATCGTAGTGGAAAACAATTATCCCCTCATGTTATCACATTGTTATGGTCAATAACTGTTTCCATATTTCCATTTGGAGGTGCCGTTGGTGGATATTGGGCTGGGCCCGTCAGCCGTCGATTTGGTAGAAGAAAGGGACTTCTGTTAACAAATCTTTTAGGAATTATTGCTGCCACTTTAATGGCAATATCAAAATTTGTATCAGCCCCAGAATTATTAATTATTGGAAGATTAATTATTGGCATTGAATGTGGTTTGTATACAGGTCTGTGTCCAATGTATTTAAGTGAAGTTAGTCCAAAAACAATACGTGGTCAGGTTGGATCATTGACTGCTATTTCTGGTTCTGTTGGATTAATGTTTGCTGAAATATTTTCAACACCAGTTTTACTGGGAACTGAAAATTTATGGCCGGTAATAATGATGTTAGCTGCCGTTCCAAGTGTAATACAATTTATTTTATTGCAATTTTGTTATGAAAGTCCAAGATATTTATTAATTAATTGTAATAATGAATTAGAAACAAGACTAGTCTTAAGTAAATTAAGAGAAAAGAATAATGTTGACGATGAAATCAATGAAATGAAACAAGAAGTCGAGCATTTAATAAATGAGAGGAAAGTTAGCATTTGGGAATTATTTACAAATAAAATCTATAGGTAAGAACATAAAATAATTAATTTTTAACAATCTCTTTAGGTATTTCAACGACTTACAGATCCGATGACTGTCTGTTAAATAACTGTGTGCATCACGAATCCCCGTTCGCCGATGAACACATAGGGCGTTCGAAAAGTTCTCAGACTGATTTTATTTTAAAAATCTAAAAAGCGTTACTAGACTTGTAGGCTGTTTGTAGGTCATACAGTCTTTTATCCATAGACATTATGAGTTCTGATTGATCAAACATTTTTGTACCAGAATAACATTATTTTTAGATCAGATTGGAACAAGTGGTGCAAATGAAATAACACGCAGTATTTTGTTCATAACTCTCTTTCCTTTCGTTCCCAAAAACCAATCCTTTCTGCAGAAGATGCAGCTTGAAATTCTCTACAAAAGGCATATTGAGTGTTTTGCTATGAAATGTAAGAATGGAGAGTTATACGAATAATACTGAGATGCTTTAAAATGTATAAAACTCTAACGTACTTTCAACGGAATTTAAGTTTTCTTTTCTAAGCACTAAAAGCAGATATCAAGATACACTTTGTAGCAACATGCTCAATATGTCTTTTCTAGAGAGCTTCAAGACGTATCTTTTGCAAAAAAGATTGATTCTTGGCACCACATCGCGTTTGTCTTTTTAAAAAAATCAGTCCGGGTACTTTTTGAAATCCCTGTGTAGTTTCATTTGAAACTAACACTACTCAATTCTTCACATAAAAATACGTGAATAAAAAAATTTTCGTCTTGAAAACGGTTCCTCGCGGAAAAATAAATTCTTTTAATAAGAGTATCACCGTTTTTTCAAAAAAATCTTCGTTTCCGTTCTTTTATTATGCGGCTTGTCCAAACGTCACGGCGTTACGTTTTTGACGCACTAAATTTCTGTTATCTCAGAAACTAAAGTAGCTAGAAAGTTCGTTCAAACACCAATCGACGCAGTTCATCGTGCTCCACATATGCTGTCAAAACGAAGTTTCTTGGATGTTGCATTGGGCTTTGAGAAGGATTTTAGTGTTGCGTTACGAAAAAAGGCCCTTTTTTAAGAGTGCTGCTACGAAAATCCTGATTTGCTGCGAAATTAGTTCTCCAAACGGAACATTTCTTGAGCCGATCCTGTAGAGCAGCCCACGGACTTTCTAGTGGTAAAAAAATGTTTCACCTAGGTTATTAGACTTGTCTATAAATCACGAAATATAAGCGTCACAGCGTTACGTTTTTCGTCACGGCGTTACGCACGCAAGTATATTTGAGGCACTAAACACGATGGTAAAGTTTTGATTTTCAGAACTTCCTGTGTTTTTTGTATATTTGATCGATCTGCGCAAAAATCAAGTTGCTGTATCAACTGGACATTAAGTCGGAAACTATACAACTATGTACAAATTGTACATCGCAAGTAAACTCAAAAACAAATACGCCATTTTGCAGAGAATTCAATTCTCTACAGCTTTTCTCTACGGCTTTTCGCCTGTTGCTAGCAAAAATTAAAATCCTTATATCTCGATCAAATCTCATGCTTACTCAAGCAAATTTATCAGGAAAGACTTAAAAGGTGCCACATATTGTTGATCACGCCGAAAAAGTGGTCCAGCAGAACACTGATGCTTTGAGGTTTTTCAGAAACCTTCTGCAAAATCTTAAACCAATGCTTGGTTGAAATTCACTATTTTCGTCTTTGATTATACTTTATGAGCTGTCCTGAGCGTTTTCTGAAAATTTCCTTGAGTCAGCATGAGATTTGATCGAGATATAAGGATTTTAATTTTTGCTAGTAACAGGCGAAAAACCGTTTTGTTCAGAAAAATGCCTCTGGCGAAGTTATAGTTATTTCTACATAAAAACAAATGTTACCACTAATTTTGTAGAGTAACGTCCGGAATATCTACGCATACAAAAAAATTACTAACATTGTATGTTATTTTTCTGAGAACGGAGCTAGTTTTCCAAAGATCCACCTGGAAAACCCCGCATGGTCCAGCAAAAAGCTTTTTTCTGCTATAGTTCAATGTACCCTGGTCTTGGCTTCAAACTGACGAAAACCGTTTCTCGATATCTCTTTGCGTTCCCGAGTTATTTGAACATAAGGCGCATAGTACCTTTTACTTTGAATCCGATACTAGTTATACGATATAATAAGGTTCAGCTAATTCAAAATTCGAGTGAAGTTTTCCTGATGTTTGATTACACATGTAGGTTCATCTCATCGAGCTGATTCCGAAAAAGCACCTTCGGAACTTTGAAAACCTTTTCTTCGAGGAGAAAATCTCAAATTACTGAGAAGGTGCCAAAACCGAGAGAAAAGGACCTCTATAGTTATTTTTCGAAGGCGTAAAGGGATGGACACAATAGAGGATCCGGGTCTTATATCGCGTCCTAGCGGTCGTCCATTCCGGCGTCAGGATCCAACATCGGAACATGCCAGAAGTTGGTGGAAAATCCGGCAGCAACCATACCAGATCATGCCCGAAATCCGTTACTCGGAATCCGTGCCGGAAGATGTTGGAAAAGATCCGACCGGATCCGACGTCTTCCGGCCGATGAATCGAATTTCCTTGGGTTTGGCAGAATGTGACCAATTTTAAGGCTAAAAACAGTCTTAAATTTTTTCTTTCATTTTCTAGTGGTTCTCCTCTCTGTTCATTCGAGAGAGTGGGGGGCCTGCCAGCTAGGACGTGTATAACACGTCCGTTGAACAGTGTGAGCGATGACTCACATTGTTAAGATTTGAGAAGAACAACTTCTCATTTTTCATTTTCTGCAGTGTCGTATTTAAAGTGATCCTGTCGTGAAATAAAACGGTGAATATATTATCCGCACTGGAAAGAAAAACAAACTAAAGTGCATATCCGTCGATTTCCGGTCACTGGAAATTAACGGATCCGCCTGATTCCGAATATCTCCGGATCCTCAAGAAAAAAAATATCGGAACGCGAAAGAATTGAGCAGATTCCGATCTCCGGATCCGGTCGGGCGTCCGATCTCCAGAAATCACCGGAATTAAAAGGATCCGACAGGATCCGATCGGGTGAATTCGATCTGGGAACAGCTGAGGGAAAAGACGAACGCAAAGATTAGTGTTTGATTGAACCACAGAATCAACATATTTTAGATCAAAAAATCGATAAAAGAAGGGGGTCTTCTAATGTGGTTTTTGCGTTATGAGTTCAAGAGGGATCTTGTAACAGGAGGGTCTTCTATCGTCTGTGTCCATCCCTTTATTACATAATGAAGTTCTGAAAGTCTTTTTTTCTGAATCAGCGTTCAAAACTAAATTATGAAAATGTGTCTAGAACTTCTCAAAAGTAAACGCTCGTCCGACAGCGATGTCCAAACTTTCAGAGACCGAAAACCATTCACTCATTTTGAGCGCACATCAAGTTTTTGAGTCAAGATCGATACCCTTGATTCATACACCATTAGAACCGCCTTGAAACGGGCAACACACTAATGAAACAAATTTCTATAGAAATTTGTTTCGTTCTAGACACATTTTCAGACACATGAAGTTCTAGACACATTTTCATAATTTAGTTTTGAACGCTGATTCAGAAAAAAAGACTTTCAGAACTTCATTATGTAATAAAGGGATGGACACAGACGATAGAAGACCCCCCTATTAGTTTCCTGAGAACGGAGCTGGTTTAACAACATCAGATGAAACTTTATTTTTCCCTAATTATTCTTCTTGGACTAGTTTTTTCTATTACTAAAAGCATTGCAAGTAACTTAACTTACTTGCAAAGTTCGACGTGCTCGGTAAAAAAGTCCAATACAAAAATGCACCGGAAAATAATTTCTACTTCCTAATTTTTAGTAAGGTTCAGCCTACAGAGACAAAATTTGGTAAGACTCAAACCTTACCACGCCTAGTGGCTCCGCCGCCACTGGTTACGACTATAAAATTATTGCTTTAGGAAAAATATCAATTTTCAAAAATCCATGAACTTCTTGACATAAAAATTTTAAAAGTAAATAGTAGATTTTATTCAGTTTTTTCACTCTTTCCGGTTGTTTAGGTGTCGCACTCCGGCCGTAACGGCCTTTTTTTAAAATGTTTTACCTGTTTCCAACTACGAATGCTCTACATCGTCTACAACCGATCAGCCATATTCAGCACAAATCGCAATAATGAACAAAGTAAGGTTCTGTTGGTGTAGTAGTTTAAAACTACGACCGTCGTGTTTGCTATGATGGAATTATCCGCCTGTAAGAAAAAGCTAAGAGTCAGCTTTTTATTTCAAAAGCAATAGTGGGACGTTCATCCCACTTTGTAAAATGCTACAACAGAATGCTGAGTTATTCACATTTGCTGTTTATTTCTTTTAAGGTTGCCATTAGCTGTTGCAATTGTTGCTCATTTATCAATGCGTTTTTCCGGTATTAATGGTATTATGTATTATTCAACAGCTTTATTTGAGCGTGCTAATATTGGAAAAAATAGCTCATACGCAACAATTGGTGTCGGGTTTACTTCGATTCTAATGACAATTTTGTCTGGATATTTAATGGATCGTGCTGGTCGTCGTACTTTACATTTAATTGGCCTAACAGGGACATTTATATGTAGTGTATTAATAACAATTACATTTATTTTTGCAGTAAGCAAGTGTCTAAAGCTTTGAATACCACCCTTAATATTTTTGCTGTTTACTTAGCATTTAGCTGATTGGTTAAAATATTTTTCAATTACATTTGTATTTGCATTTGTCACCTTTGTTGGTCTTGGTCCCGGAAATGTCCCATGGGTTATTGTACCAGAAATATTTGCGCAAGGTGCTCGACCAGCCGCTACAAGTGTAGCAATGGTAACTAACTGGTTATCTAATTTTACTGTGGGATTAATATTTCCATTATTAGCTGTATGTATATGATGATTCACGCGTATACTTAGTAGTGATGATAGAACGTACGTTTATCATTTTCTAGGATAATATTCCACACTATGTATTTCTACCATTTGCCATTATGACATTATTAGCAACCTTATTTTTATACAAATATTTACCAGAAACAAAGAAGCGAACATTTGAAGAAATAACAATGTCATTTAGGTCACATATGCGGCAAAACACAAAACAACTACAATCAGATTCTAATAATTATCAAACACTTGATATTGCTTAGAGACTGCTGTTATTTTAACGACAATCGGATTTCTACAATTCTTTTTTTCTGTTTGAACATATATTATGTTACCCGAATACGCTTCATAAATAAAAGAGCGCTAACAGCATAGAGATAAGTGCTGTCATAAAACTCAAGCAGTGAACATAAATCGGATTAAAAACTCTGATATGACTGAATGTCACACAGAGTCACAGTGCAAATCTCAATCCTAGGATAAGTAGAGTGAGAAGACATGCGGACATCTGGCTGATCATTTTTTAATTTGTTCCGTTGTTGGGTGAAAACTTAGAAATGCTACCTATCTTTTGCTGTACATGAGAAGTTTTTCTAAAAGAATCAGACACTCTTCGGAAACAACTGCCATATCACCGATAAAAGAAAATTAAAGTTTGTTTAGAGTTAAAGAAAAGTACTTTTTCGTATTCAGCACACTTGATAACCTGGAAAATTTTCTATTTTTAGCGAGGGGTACCGCCAAAAAGTTACGAAAAATTTTCAAACAAATTGACGCAGAAAAATCCTCATGGTAAAATTATACAATTTTGAAAATTTTTCGTAACTTTTTGGCGGTACCCCTCGCTAAAAATAGAAAATTTTCCTGGTTTTCAAGTGTGCTGAATACGAAAAAGTACTTTTCTTTAACTCTAAATGAACTTTAATTTTTTGTCGGTGATATGATGGAGTTTAACCTTTCTTTTCGAAATCGAACGAAACAATACCAGTAAAAGGATTCACCGACGCTTCCACTAGTTAAGTACAATTTCCCTTATCAACTTCTCAGCTAAACAAATATCGCCTCTCTGAAGAAATAGGCTCATTCTCACGTCGTGTGCCTCCCTTCACCGCTTTTATGTGCGAGATGGTAAGGAAGCTTCCCTCCTTTACATAAGCAGGAGTATTATTAAATATATACTACTTGCTGAAACGTGACTCTTTTTTGTTACATGGTTCATAATTTTAATGTCCAATCTGCAACAACCTTATCTTGCACAAAAGGCTGAATTAAATCTCTTTTCTAAATGAATACATGTTCTGTAATAGTCGTGTCATAGAGTAAAGATTATTTCAGAATATTGTTGGCAAAAAATAATTTGTTTTCGATTTGAATTCAGTTTTCGAAGAAAAAATGTTTTTTTCCCGCAAACAATTTCCCTATAAGCCAACTCAGTGGTAAATTTATAATAAATATCCATACATTATTTCAAGTCTAAATTTGGTTAAAAATTTGCAGAAATATTTTTGTATATATTTGGCACATTATTACCACCGATTTGAAATATGCAAGTAGAAAAAGATGAGCTACAAATGAAAAAGAATGCTAGTTTATTAGCGTAGCCTATGATTTGAATGAAAACATGATAAAAATTTTATGTTGCCATTCAATTACTACTTTTCTCATCCATACGTGTGTCTAATTTATCAGTTACCACACGTGTCTGTGTGTAGCTGAATGTTAGTATAGTCCTTGTCGAAATCATTCTTCTTCAGTTTATTTTGAATACTTATAACAGATTCCCTATTGCTTCTGGTTAATTTTCCAAACGAATATCGTATGACTGTTGCACAATGTTTACTTCAATTAGATAATAATCAATAGTCTCTTTGTGTCCTTCGCTATATGTATCTTCGTTAGTAGACTCACTGTCTTGAATAACATTTATCACTGTGCTGTAATCAGCTTTTGAATATGAACCATTATTAACATCCAATTTGAACTGGTTTATAAGCGAATCAATGTTATATAACGCATGCTTAACCTTAAAACAAACTAAACAAGTTGACATCTGTAATTAATTAGTTGCCATAATATATGGAACATTTTTATAATCTTCGTGTCAGATGTGCCCGGCTTAACTGAGCAGTTATAAATTAGGTTAAGTTTACTAATTTGAAGCATTATGATGGATGTACTCTCAAAGGTTCAACAAGCATTTTGAAGGAAAGGACGGGGGTCGACGAGAGCCAAAATTCGGTCCTCTCACAGATCATTCTTATATTAACCGATCTGATGTAGTTTTCGTCTGCGATTAACCCTAACGTATTTTGGTATACTTTTTTTCCCATATACGCATGTTCCAAGGATCTGCTTGTCGTCCTAAGTTTTAAATTCAATCAAGTCTGTTTTCAATGTAGGAGAATAAGAATAACGGTGACCATTTTTGTCCAACAGCCTCACTGAGGTCTTCACTGAGAGCCTTCACCGAGAGAATACTCATTTTTGTTTTCTTTATAGTATAAAGAAAACAAAAATGAGTATTCTCTTACCAATAGTCTAACGGGCGTAACAAAAGAAATATTATTAAAGTTCTCCCTAGAAAACAACTCATTTAGGTGTGCGGTCGAAATATCACTCATTGAATATTGATCATCGAATGTTTTCAACACGTTCAGTTTTCGAAGAAAAAATGTTTTTTTCCCGCAAACAATTTCTCTATAAGCCAACTCAGTGGCTTTGTACCACAGGCAATCAATTTTTTTCAAATTTTGTTGTACTCCTGTAGACTTCCTGGTATTCTTCGCTGAGCCCGAAGAATTTTCCTGACTGTTTTTGAATTTTTCCGCATTTCTTCGCTTAGCCTCATTTTCAGTCATTTTTGCAGATTTTCTGGATTCATCGGATTCTAATCCCTTTTTCCAATTTTTTCTTGCACTCCCACAAATTCCTTCAGTTTCTCGAACTTTGGGAAGTTTGTATAGGATGCTCCAGGCTTCTGTAGATCTGGAAGTCTACAGCTGCTTGGAATTCTGTTGTGTCCCTCTTGGCTTCTCTTCACTGGTGATTGGTAAACCACTTTTATTATACTTTTGGATGGGTTCGATTTTCGCACCAACCATGTCCTACTGAAAATCGGAGTAGCACATTCATCGATGATATCCCTGATGAATCAATTTTCTGAATGCATTTGGCATATTCTTTAAATCGTGCCAACTCTTCACTGTCACAAATTTTACATATTTTTGAACTTGTTGAACATTTGTAGTATTTTGGGTAACAGTAATATATGAAGACAGCCACAGACAACACACAGATAGCCAGAGACACCTACACAGACAGCAAAGGGCCAGCCACAGACAGCCAAAAATAATAATACTATACAGACATCCATGAAGTTTTGCTTGTCGGTGGCTGTCTCTATACTATCTGTGTAACGGGAGAGCCATAGAGAATGGGTATTTTGTATTTCCTCAATAACTTCGTCAGTTTTGATCGAATCGAGCTAAATTTCTTTTAAAAAGATTCATCGTTCAATTCTCTGTCAAACCATAAAATGGTTTTTGTTCTAAACTAAAAACTAAAACTGCTATTATAAAAGTAATGAAGAAGCCGAATATGTCGAACTTCCAAGCCCAAAAATCAATTTCTTTGCGTTTGTACTCAGAGCTTTCAAAACTCTACAAAATGGCTCCCTTAGTTTCTTTCCGTTTCGTATCGCTATCATCCTAGTGCATTTTAAAATTTTCGGAGTAAAACTCTGTCGCACAAAATTTGGTTTTGTTTTTTTGTATGTTTCAAAAAACACCAAGTTCAAACGGTGGTTTTGGCTCTTCTCAGAAAATCGACGTAATTCGGCCGAAATACAATCGTTTAAGCGAAATTTTCTTTTGTTTGAAATCTCATGAGTTGTACCACGAGAAGCTATGCTTAGGTCAAACAAAACTTACTGTTTTTCCACCAGGTTCAAACGTCAAGACGAAAACCTTTAGTTTTCGACCTGGGAAGCAAAAAATAGATTTTGCTTCACTAGTTTTGAGCGAAGCATCTTTTTTTATACGATCAGAACGAGCACAGTTTTTGTACAGTAAATCATAATTTAATATTTTTTCAGATGAGCGTTATTGCCAAAAAAAATGGTAAAACAGTTTATATATTCGAGCTTGAAAGTTAGACATGTTGGGCTTCTTCATTATTTTTACAATAGTTTTGAGTTTAGAACAAAAACCCTTTTATAGGTTGTTAGAGAACTGAACGATGAATCTTTTTAAAAAGAAATTAGTTCGATTCGATCAAAACTGACAAAGTTATTGAGGAAATACAAAATATCCATTCTCCATGGCACACCCGTTAGTTGTCTGTGCATGTCTGTGTGCTATCTGTGGATATCTGTGAGTGTCTTAAAATTTTACTATTACCCTATTATTTTTACCGGGAAAATTTCTCTGTAGCTATAACAACTTCTTACCACATATATTTCTCAGTTCAACATGTGTTAAGACTTCATCGCGAAATTCTTTTTTATTTTTAGATCTTCGGAAAATGAGCATATTTAGTAGTCTTTATACAAGGGAACATTTTTACGACGGTATACTTTCTAAGAAAAAAGACCACTTTCTTGATACGCAAAATAGCCGGACTCGTTCTTAGGTTGTACCGCGCAGTTTAGCTTCGCTTAAACAGGTAGGTTTTATCAGCATGACGATCTTATGACGAAAGGAAAATACCATGCATTTTATTTTAGTTTTGCTGTTCTTTCTTGTCCTTTTGCGCAAATATAGGATTTTCCTTGTACTGTAATGTTTTATCATGAGTCATATACTTTCCATATTGAGCATGTATTCGTCTAACCGCTCCATTCTTATACTGAACATCCTACAAACTTATTACGAAAGCAATGGTTCATCAACAGTTAGGTTCAATTAATACTTCAACTGCAGTTGTCGCGAAACCATGCGAGTGTCCTTCATGTAATATTCAATTTGCAATTGAATTAAGAAATTTTGCATTTAGTTTAATTTAATTCTGTTCTTTTGCCGTTTGAATACTACGTGAGGGACAGTCGCATGGTTTCACTACAATTGCAGTTGAAGTATTAGACGAATTCATGTTCAACATGAGAAGTATATGACTGTTTTGACCTGATAAAACATTACAGAACAAATAAAAAGCCTATATTTGCGCAAAAGGAAAAGAAAGAAGAACAGAAGTAAAATAAAATGCATGCTAATGTTATGCTTATTAACGGGTAAAAATTTTAAAACTACAGAAATAATAACAGCAG